ACCAGAGAACTTTACTAATTCAGCATCGAGCACAGCCTTGCCATTGGAAGCATTTGATGGCACCCCATTAACAGAAATGTACCAATATGATTAAATGAAACTGACTTTTAAGATTCATGCCCAAGGTCTGTACAGTGAAAAGGTTTGCGCATTCGGAAACTGAGACACAGAGCGTATGTGTCAAGTCTAAACGTATGACAGAACAGAGGGTGACCAGAGTCCAAGGGAAATAATAAGTCATTGCTTTCGAATGCTCAACTCCTGTGAGGTTTTCTGTTTCCTGTCAGTGAGAATCTTTTCTTCAAGGTTACTAAATTTTCAATAGTTTTGTTATATTTTAATGCTACGTAATATTCACTTCTGTTTTATACCATCAAATATTTTATCTTCAGTGCTAATTGTAAAATAATATGCTTAAGTTCAAAGCTTGTTTATAGAAAAATTTTGTATATCTCTTTGTGCCAAAATGGCTTAAATTACAAACTTAAATTACAGTGGTGTGGTGTATTTAATTATGGCAAAGCACACTAGGGCTATCTGCCTGAGAGGAGGGAATGCCTTCGTGGAGGACTTTCTAAGGAGGACTTTTTTCTTTTAACTGGCTCGTATACACGTTACACATTGGGAAAACCATGAAAACGTCCATGCAGCCAGCTCGTTCGCGGGATTCGAACCTCGGAGACCGAACTACCAGTGTTCAGCAACTTACCGCTCGGCCGCTGGTGGGCCCTTAATTACAGAATAAAAAGATTACAAAAATGTAAATGTATATATATATATATGAAATTACACATTTTTTTTAAAAACAAAATATAAACATGTCTAGTATTTTCGTGCATTAAGCTGCTGAAAAATTATTAGTAAAGACATAAAGTAAGAAATTTACTTATGTCTTTACTGACATAAAAAAGCTGAATCTATTAATTAATTCTTAATTTGTGTCACAAATGCATTAATAGCTATTTTATCATGATTTCAGATACTGGAGAAAACGGCTGTTCTGTCAGTATTTATATGGTCAAAAGATCCTCTTAAACAAGAACGTGATTCATGGTACAAACGTCGTTTAAGTCACCATCTTGCCCTTGATTTGCTAGAAAAAGCTCCCTCTCGAAACGATGTTGGAACATTCATACAAAATGACAGTGGTGAAGCTCTGGAACAGACAATATTAGAAAACGTTTTCTACCTGGATGTACAAGAAAGAAAACATAGGGCAAAAAAATGAAATTAACTACTTACAGAAAATGTTAAAATCCGCCAATGATACAATTTGCTTCCTGAGGAAACAATTAGTGCGTTTGAAAAAGGAAGTGTCACAGTTGAGAAGAGAGAAATTTAAAACTGACATTAAATATAAAAAACTTTCCAGTGCTGTTAACAAACTTTTACTAAACCACAGGAAAAATTGCTAACTCATCAGAAAAAGAAAGTGAAATGGGATGATGAAACATTGTCAATTGCATTCACATTATGCTATTCAAGTAGAAAGGCATATCTTTATCTTAAGAAGCATCTAAATTATCCTCTTCCACATTTAGCTACTCTTAGACGTTGGGCATCATTATTTCAACTGCGGCAAGGTATTTTAGACGATGCTTTAAAAATGATGAAAATAATTAAGAGAAGGTGAGAAAGATTTTCAATGTTGCATAGTTTTATCGTTTGATGAAATGAAAATTAAAACTACATATGAATATGATATGAAACACAGCCAAATTATTGGCCCGTATTCACAAATGCAAATGCTATTAGCGCGAGGGCTTGTCGATAAGTGGAAGCAACCACTCTTTGTAGACTTCTATAGAAGGATGACAGATACCATTCTTTTTGACGTGATTTCAAAATAACATCAAACTGGGCAACAAGTTGTGGCTGTAGTGAGTGATACGAGTGGATCTAACGATGCACTGTGGAAAACATTACAAATAAATAAAAATAAATCATGGTGTATGCATCCGATTACCAATGAAAATATTTATTTTTTTGCAGATGTGCCATATCTTCTGAAGCTTATTTGCAATTAGCTTTTAGATACTCGTTTTGTCTTAAGCGATAACTCCATTATAAGTAAAACTCCAGTTTAGGAATTACTTAAATTAATGCTAGTGAGTAAAAAGCTTGCTGTAAACTGACAGAAACTCGCATATTATGTGAAAAATCTCAGCGACAATATGTGCGTCTAGCATCACACTTGTTTTCAGAATTAACTGCAGTTGTGTTAGAGAGATACAAGCCTGGGTCCGATCCTAAATTATGTTGTGATTTAGCACATTTTATAAAAGAAGTAAAATGGTTTCATATTTTCAATAGTTATATTCCGGAAATTTTGGGGGACCCACCAGCGGCCGAGCAGTAAAGTTGCTGAAGGCTGGTAGTTTGGTCCGAGGTTCGAATCCCGCAAACGGGCTGGCTGCGTGGGTGTTTTTGTGGTTTTCCCCATGTGTAACGTGTATACGAGCCAGTTTCCCTTAGAAAGTCCTCCACGAAGGCATGCCTTCCCTTAGGCAGATAGCCCTAGTGTGCTTTGCCATAATTAAATACACCACACCCCACCGGAAATTTTTGGATTTCCTTGTAAAAGTGCTTAAGGAAAGTATATAAAAACTCAGGATGCAGCAATAGATAATTTTTGCAAAACTGTGAAAAACATGAGGTGCACTGGAAAAAAGTTACTGCAGGTATTTCAAAAAGGTGTTCTAATTTCTAGCACATCGTTAAAAAGTCTCTTGCATTATGTCAAAGAAAAATATAACTGCTCATACATTCTAACGCATTGTTTAAATCAAGACGCTCTTGAAAATACATTTTCGCAATTAAGGAGCAGAAGAGGACTAGATGATCATCCTACTCCTCTTATTGCTTTATATCGTTTACGTATAGTGATACTAGGCAAGAATGGTTTTATTGAAGTCCACGGAATCACAAATACGAAAGGTAGAGTAGAAGATGATTATTTTTAGGTTTTGTGGGATGCTGGTGTAAAAGCTGTTGTCAGAAACGATGACAAAATGTCATTTTCATATTCAAAAAACAGTGATACTGAAAAAACATCGATTGCCCATCTGAAAAATGCGAAATAAAATTGGATATGAGTATCACAGAAAATGATGGTTTAAGTTATATTGCAGGGTGGAGAGCAAAAAAACATCATATCGAGTACCCTAATCTCGGGGAATTTACGTATAAACTGAAAGAAGATCCAAATTGTTTTTCATCGTGGATACAACATCTGTCTCATGGAGGACTTATTCAACCATCTGAAGAGTGGAAAACGCAAATTCATAAAATGGAAGAACAATTTTTAATTTTAACGGTTCCACTTTAAGAAAGCGAGAAAATAATATAAAGGACTTTGTCAAAACTCTTAAACAGCAGTTTTCCAACACACATGAAAAATTACTTAAATCCTTTGCTAGAATTTGAGCTTTTATATGATTTAGGAATTTCAATCAAAAATTAGTTAATCAAAAATATTCGAAAGCTAAAAAAAGAATACTACATTCAGTCAATGAAAATTGTGAACATCACGTGGAAATGAAAAAATAAATTGAAGAAAATAATTTCTTAATAAAAAAAAATATTGCTTTAACTGAATGAAAATTGAGCTATCTTTAGTTTTGTTATTTTAGGTGCACTATTTTTTTAGCTTAAGTATTGTAAAAAATACTTAAAATTTTTCTTCAAGCAAAGCTTAGATGCTGCGAAAAAAAATGGTGTATCCAGCATATCTGTTGAAAATAGTATTTTTTTATCAAACAGAACTGATCCAAATTACGTATCTAGACTAAAATTTTAGACGTGAATACCTGGTTACTTTTGGAAAGAAAAATATATTTTGTATTATGTATTATCTGATATATCTTTTATCTTTAAACATTCATCTCATAATATTTGTATATATTTATATATATACATATATATATCTTAGTGTAAAATATTATATATATACATATATAATGCATCTTCATAATGTAAAATAAATAAATAAAAATATTTTTGATTCTGAAATAGTGAACTATGACAAAAAATCTGCAAATGCAAATATTTTTTTTTTTTTTTTACAATAGCGTTTGCAAATTTCTTATGTACCATTTCCTTATTCAGTATGGTATTTGAATAAGCTTAGATTATGTTTAGAATTTAATAAATATAGCCACTAAATTTATGCAATTTACAGCACATAATTTGGGTTTTGGTTTTGAACTTAATTTGCCCTTGGTTTCAATCATTCAAAGTTTATTTTTATAAGATATCTTTATATACTGTCTTAGATATTATATGTTTAAGTATAAAATATGTAAAAGAAATAAGGGTATGTACAATGCAAATTTATTTTTCATGTTAGTGTTCATTCATTTATTTATTTATTCGATATCTTTAGTTTTAAATATATATTTCAAAATCTGTATGTACGTAAGTGTATTATGTCGATACAAAATGTTTATTAGATATTTATACATGTTAAATTACGACTTAGTTAATATCTTTTTTCAAAACTTTAATGTAAACACCTAGCAAATAAGAACAGTTAAATAAGCGCAAATTCGTTTCAGGCGCCTACCGTAGTTTCTAACCTCGTAGTATGAGAGAAAGCGACAGAGGTCTCCCTGTGATATCACGATGTTGTTGACCATTCAACGCGTTTTCCCTCTGATGTACGGACCTTAATCCATGCCTATAATTACTGCAGGAATCTATATGCTAATTAAATTTACAAATGTTTTTAAACATTTTAAGAAAAAAAAAAAAATCCACAAGTAATGCTTATGTAGCAGACTTAATGCAACTAATTTGCACCTCAAACAGATTCTACTGCTTAAATTGATTTCAACAGGATGACACTTCCCTCTTAATTTAAAGAAATGAGCAAAATAACAAAATGTGTATAATTAAATAAGCATTCTAAAATTAAACAACAAAAATTGATTATTGAAAAAATTCCATTATCAACTATTTAAAATTAGAAAGATAAAATTCTTAACCAAGAAGTTTCTTACCACATATAGGCATCTCCTTTCTATAAGTGAAACACAATATACATGGTTAATTCAGTCCTCTGGTACTTTTAGTTCAGGAAACAATTTTTACCACATAAACAGACCTCCAAACTTATTGAAAATGAAAATTTCAATACCTAGAATGAAATGAAGGCATGAAACAAATTACTATTACATAAATAAAGAATTGGGGAAAGTCAAAACAATGCACATCACTTCTCGATTAAAGAAATTTTAAATGTTTAAGAAGGACAGAGGAGTACAAAGTCTTGCAAGAGATAACTATCCCGACTAAAGGATTTTGTATCAAGTTTAAAAACTGGATATTCGACTAGCCATTTCCTTTATGTTCTTAACTTCAACAAAATTAATTTCCTAATTCCTCAATTACAACTACACATTTGAAAAGCCTAATGCCTCCGACTTCGATGTAATGTGTCAGTCATTGTGCCTTCATTGGAAACGTGTACAGCTACGAATTTATTTAAAAAAACTTTCAATCCTGAATCTCTACTAAGATGACCACAGTTATTGGTGTTAGCAAAAAGATTCTTCACAGATTCCAAATAACACTACAGATATGAGTGAAACACTACTACATCAGGATTTTAGCCACTCAAATACAGATGTGATGCATTATATCAATGGAATAAAATAGAAGGTTCTTGCAATAAAAATCGATGTTGCTAAGTTAGAAGTAACAGTTAAAAGTTTTTTCATGGAATAAGACTTTTTTATGGGTCTGTGTTTTTTATGCATTCAATCCAAGCTGATTTTGTATATGAACACAGATTTTTGCTCTCACCTACAGTTTTAAAATGTAGGTGAGATTTTTAATAATTTTCTAACACTACACTAAATAAATACTTCAAATGTGATGTGGCAGTCATTGTGCCTTCATTGGAAATGTGTACAGCTATGAATTATTTAAAAAGACTTTCTATCCTGAATCTCTACTAAGATGACCACAGTTATTGGTGTTAGCAAAAAGATTCTTCACAGATTCCAAACAACACTACAGGTATGGGTGAAACACTACTACATCAGGATTTTAGCCACTCAAATACAGATGCGATACATTATATCAATGGAATAAAATAGGATGTTGTGAAGTTAAAAGTAACAGTTAAAAGTTTTTTCATGGAATAAGACTTGCTTTTTTTATGAGGTTACCTATCTGTGTTTTTTATGCATCTGACACTACAATACACTAAATAAATACTTCAAAAATAATATGCAGATAACACTGAAAATCAAAACACACATGTAAGACATAAAATATAAAACAAAATTATTATCTAGCTAATAATAATATCAATCTTGTATTAATAATTCTTCGGGACCAAGATAACCATATTTTGAAATTATAGCTATGGCCAAGTTTTCATAAATGACAGGGACAGTATCATTCATCCATTCTTTCAGAGAATCATTTCATACTAATAATCCCTATATATCCCCTGCCTTGGTGAAGTAAATATTTTTCATTAGAAAGAAGGCCATTTGCAAAATAATTATTAAAAATATTGGATGTATGAATATGATTTTGCCATTTTCTTATATTTGTTGTTAGCAATACTGCTTACATTCAACAGGATTTGGGAACACTTGTATGTGAAAGGTTTGACCTTTAATAACTAGTTAGTGACGTCTGTTTAAACAGTAAATACTACTGAAAATGTTGAGTTTGATTTTCTTTTTAAACTATTTGCAGAAAGTTTTACTTCATTATTATATTACAATGAAAACTGCAGCAGAAAAAATCAGTCTGCTGTTGGGAAAGTGTTACTTCATTATTATATTACAAAGAAAACTGCAGCAGAAAAGTTCAGTCTACTGTTGGAAATTAATGACAAACGTGTTCTATTGAATACAACTTGCAAACAGTAGTTTCAATAGTTTAAAAATAATAATTTTGTAACCATAATAAAACAGCACGGAAAAACCACCAAAAAAGCATAAAATGAAGATATAGAGGTATCACTGCACAAAAATCCTTGCCAAATACAATCAGAATTGGCTGCTGCATTAACTATACATTTTTCAATGTCTGAATAAAACCGGAATGGTTAAAAAGCAAGGAAAATTAGGTGCCATATGAATGGCACATTGAATGTTGAAATGCGATATGGGAACTAGTACTTCAAAAACAAAAAAAGGATTTTTATTTGAATTTTTACAAGAGATAAAAAATGAATCCACTACAATAATCCTACATGGCCAAAAACAAGGGTACATTTAAAGAAATCAGGTCCATCAATGCCAAAACAGAATACTCATGGAAATAATGTTATGCTGTGTAGCTAGTGAGACCAAAGGGTGCAGTCTACTATGAGCTGTTACAACTGAATCGGATTATGCTGAACACTTCAACTAATGAATTCAAAAAAGCACTGAAGCAAAAAACACCCCACATATGCCAAAAGTCATGACAAAGTTATTTTCTAACATGCAATACTCACCAAAGAAACTATTCAGAGAAATCATTGCAAGAGCAGCCAAGAAAACTCTAAATACACTTTGCCGAGATGTGCTGCCCCACCTGCCAATTTCCCAGACGTTGCTCCTTCACATTACAATTTGCATTGATCCATCAGCGTAGCTTTCCTGAACAGCAGCTCAGTTCTTACAAGGATATAAAAAATCAACTTCATGACTCGACTGTTTAAAAACAGATTTCTTCCTTCACAGAATCCATTTACTCTTCTGGACAAATTTTGTAGCTTCTGATGGAAAATATATTAAACAAATCTTTCTTTCAGTATAAAAACAAATTAACATATTTCATTTACTCAAAAAGGAGCAGAGTCTTATTTATACACCTAATAAGGACCAATTTCTTGAAACACAGGCAGTGTTAAAATTTTTGTACACAAGTCAACATACATCCCAACAAATATATCACATGACATCTGCACCCAAATGTCTACACAAGGAAACATAGAACTAGTGTGCCAGGTACATGTTAATGGCACCTGTGTCAGAATGCATGATCATTAAACATGACAGGGTATAAAGTTACTTCCACATTAAGCCAAAGAAATTTCTGACGAAAATCACAAGTTCGAAGAGCAATGACGTTTTCCGAAAGCATTTCATTTACAGTACTTAATATAAGCCACGAAATGTTAAGAGGGTACTTATGTATTATTGCAACCAGGTTGGTGCGATTTGTAAGTTTGAGTAAAAAAGTATGAATAGAAAGAAAATGTACATTTATTAATTACAGATAATTTTTAATACAGTTTTTTATATTATTTTGTTTTAAAATATAAAATAGCAATTAAACCCTTCCGGTTTCGAATTTGAATAAGTCGCAGAATTATTTTTACGGCGGAAATCTTTTGGCTACTGCTTTTAGCACTAATTGAAAACCGTCTTCGCCAATAACAGCTTGAGCTTGGCGCCATATAAATTCGATAAGATATGAGTCAAGATGATGACGGACTGTTCCTCTCTGATTTTTGTTGCGCCATTTGGCTGAGCCCCACATGCGCTCTACATGTTGTGTGTGAACGCCCGTGTTGGGATCCACAGTTATATTTGTGATTAACAGTTCCATGCAGAAATCCAGCATTTTCGAACTCACTTGTATTGTATCCTTTCCAGCAATCCGAAAAAATGCTTCCTTCCTTGATATTTCGCAAATTTTTTCCATGACGGTAACGGTGCTTCTGTTAGGTACAGTAACCAAAAAAGTCTCTTTCTTTTCTCGGCAAATTCCACCGAAAACCCATTGCTGTGGTAGTACACGCCCAGTGTTATTTTTTCTTTTTACAAATAAACTTTCGTCTAAACACGTAGGGTTGCCATAAGTAGGGTCGCCAAATTTGACGATTTATGCGAATTTTGGCCTGGTTGCGTTAATACGTAAGTACCGTTAAGAGTTTTTGTTACCATTTTAATAAAACTTAATTTACGATGAAACCTTTATTTTATTTAATCAAAATTTCTGACTGATTCCTTTATAAATGATATATTCCTCAGCTTCATATGAGCGACTTTTTATTGCAAGCTACAGGGTGAAGTATTTGTTTTTTCACCTCATTTGATAGCATTGAACTACATATATTGGAATAACTTTTCCTGTTTAAGGGGATTACTATTATTATGTTCTGCAAAGTCTGACAAATAAGAAAAGCCCAATTTATCCTCTGTTTGCATTTAATCTTTCCTACGATTAGCAATTTTACAGCTTATATCTATCTAGCTTGATCACTTAACACACTCGTCGAAGTGCTAAATTCTGTGTGAACCATTAGGTCGTAAGTTCAAATCCATTTGAGGTATTTTTGCCTGAAAACAAATATTTTATTGTTTCTGTAAATCTGTAATTGCCAAAATTTTGTTGATATAAAAATTACTACGTTACATGTAACTTGTGAAGAGCAGAAAGTAAGATCATATTGGGTGAGGATGTAGCTGGAGAAAGATGCATGAATTCAGTTACAAGGAATTGGTTGATATGCATTTATGGACCAAGGACCAAGGCGTTTGAATTACGGAGTACCTTTGCAAATAAATGCAATAACCTCCACATCATCGTTCAGAGAAATGAATAAATTAAGGGAGAAGCAGTCGCTAAAGTAAATGAAAAAAGCAGATAAGCTAAAATTCAAGAATCGTTGAGAGTCCTCTTGTTTGGACACAGGAGGAGAGAACAAGCTTTGATCACAATTGAAGGTGTTTAGACCCCTGCCGTGAGTCAACTGCTTGCGCCCGATAACAATGGAGAGGCAACCGGAACGCAAAGTGCGTGGATGGTTGCCATGGAGACGAATCAGCAAAGTGCGTGGTGGTTGCCATGGAGTCTAATCATTTATGGAGCCATGGATGGAAACTGTCAAGTTGAGAGATGCATGTACCGAGAGTGCTTCCCAAATGGACAACTGCCAAGTCATCTATTGTTTGAACAACTGCAAGGCAGATTAAGTGAGGCTCGAGCTTTTCCAGTAAGCAACCATATCAGTCGGCAACATACTACACGTACAACAGCCATAGATAAAGTTGTACTATGGGAAACTGAGAGAAGCATGGGAACAGGTATCAGGATAATTGAACACAACTTAGGTATATCTTATCATAGATAGGTAACTCAGGTATATCTTATCAGGTATACTCAGGTATCCAGCATTTCACATATACTGCATGCAGACACACTACACCCTGGCCACTAAACTGACTAAAGGTATTGAGCAAAACCACCCAATGTGTTGCGTGGTATCTGATAAATGCAAAATACACCCAGGTTTTCCATTGTGATGAACAAGTTACTGATGAAGCACCCATTTCATGGGATGGTATCCTGAACTCATTGCATGTGCGGGCAGATGACAATCCCAAGAGTACACACAACTATGAAAACCAACAGTGCTCTACCATAAACATGTGGGCTGGTATTATTGTTGGCATTTTGACTGGTCCTTATATACTGCATCAACACTTAGACAGGCATACTTATCACACCAAAAAAAGAAAAAAAAAAAAGGAGATGTATTTCCAAATTTGATGGATGTCTTTACCCCAGCTTAATGCTGACATATCTGGCTGCAGTATGATGGGATGCCCGTACATTTCAGCAGCATCAATGTGTAAGACTACCTCAATATAACTTATCCTCACTGCTAGATTGACAGAGGCGGACCAGTTGCCTGACCACCATGATCACCTGACCTCACCCCTATAGATTTCTTCTTAAGGGAAGAAATGAAGTTCTTGGTATACGAGACATCCATCTGAACTCCTGGTCCCAGGAGTAGTGGAAGCAGTGGCACATGTCCATAACACACCCGACCAAGTTGAACGAGTCTGTGAATCAACACGTTGTTGTGAAGCATGCATGCATTGTGGTGACTGGAAGGAATTTTGAACACTTTCTGTAACTACGATTATTTCCTTCATCCATATTGCTGTTTTTTATATATCCAAAGGGGGCAATTTGCTCAGATGGCATTTTGCGGTGAAATGTTGGTTCACTTTTCAAATTGTTGCCACCAAATATTAGAGCCCTGTATTATATTTAAAGAAATTAAATAATGAAGAATCTGCATAAATGTATGTATTTTTCTCGCATTGTGATAAAAAAACAGTTGTAGAGAAATTTAGGATTTTGGAACTAGGAGAATTGAAAAATTAGCAACCACCTTCGCCGGGAATCGAACTACAGACCTCTGAAATACGAGCTCAGTGTGCTGACCATTACACCACGTGTAATTCCTAGCGTGCCTACGCTAGGAAAGTGGGAGAAATACTTTATACGGTACCTCGAGCTTTCAAATTTAACAAGAATAACGCACATTTCCACCTGAATATGAGCATCTGGAAGACCGAAGCTGGAATTTGTTTAATTAAATATTTCATATTTTTTAAAACTTTAACAAATTTTTGTTAACAAACTCAATGATTCAAAAGCAAGCAATGGCAAAACTACAAAAAAAAAAAAAAAAAAAACACATTCTAATCTTCAGCACGCAAAACTGTGTACCGCAAATTCTAAAGATATGCTCATTTTAAAATTATTTTGCGATATTGCTGTTGAACTGAATTTTATGGTTTAAGTGCAAAGAACATGGTATTTAATAAATAGGGCGTAATGTAAAAAATGAAAACTTTCAGATTTTTATTTTTTGAACTTTATATTTTCTTTTCACATGTATTAGATGTTATTTTTTAATAAAATCTTGTTAATGGCACCACTATCCATTCCCTTTCCTTGTACACTGATCAAAATCTGGAAATATTTGAAACTAATACATAACTGAAATGTCTTCAGAGGCTGCATGTGGGCTACCAGTTTGAGACCACTTGTCTAGACATAGAAAGGTTATTCATATATACTGTATAACTGAGCAAAATCCTTACTTCTATTCAGTGTCTCTCTGGAAATTTCTACTTTTAGCTATTTTATCTAAAATTGGCATTAAAATTTGCTTAATTTAGAAAAAATTTATTACTGCAATAAAATTACCAAATACAATTGCATGAAACTATATGTCACAAAAATACTTTGCAGAAGTATATTCGATTTTTAAAAAATACTTTAAAGTTATATATAATAAAAGAATAAAATGAAACTTTGTTATACATATTTTTCTAACCTCAGCATTATGATTCACAATCACTTGCTTCCCAATTTTTCTCTTTTATTTAAAGTACTTATTTTTCACATTTTAAATTTTTATTCATTCCTCTTTTCTGTGAGCTTTAAACATCTTATTTATTATTACCTATTTTTAAAATGAAGCCCTGAATAAATGAAGGCATTGAAAAACTGTAAATTTTTATGCATGCTGTGAGACTGATGGCAAGACTCATTTTTGTGAAACTTCAGTCTACTGGATACAAATCATGTCATATGCTTTGACATTAGCACAGCAACCTAAAAGCAAAATTGCTGTATGTAGACAAAATGCTGACAGGCAACAAGTCTACGAGGAAGTCTTTACTGTGTCACCTCATACAGACTGGCCTTTATATACAAAAAATTCCACCTTCTGAAACATTTTAAGGTCAGCCAAACACCAGTCCAAAAAGATTAAACAAAAATAGCAGAGTGTGAAATTATGTACAACATATTTATTACAATGAGAATCTAGACACAAAATTAGTATGATGATGTATCAATAATACCTCTCATCATGCTGCACACCTATGAGTACAGTAGTTCCAAACTCTTGAACTTCCATTTAGCAATGAGAATATTTAATACAGCCAAGTAGCCCAGGAATCTGCACAACACTCCTGTGCTATAGGAATTATCAGTGTGAGTTTGCTGCATACATATGAGAAATGTCGTTTCAAACTCTTGAACTTCTGGAGTGATAAGTTTATAATTCTGTACTCCTATATAAACAGGAATCATCAGCGTGGGTTTGCTGTATGTATAAAAACACAGCAGTTTCAAACTCTTGAACTTCTATTGAGCTGTATGAATATGTTATAGCTCTGAGAAGCCCAGGTATTTTCATACTCCTGCACTTCCCAGAGCTCTGCTCTTTGCTGTTATGAATGCTGACTGTTTTCCTCCATTGATGTTTCTACCTTAACAGGGCATAGAGGCTCACCTGAATCAATAACCAAGAGTTATATCAGCAGAGAGTGCAACAGGTTCACTTGAGCTGATCAAAGGGCATATCAAAAGGATAAAGAGGAGCATCTGATTCTCCAAGTTAGGAGCTGAATCTAGAACTAACAAATTTATCATATGAAAATTTGGCTAATCTTTGGAATATGGTAACATGCAGTTTGGCGAAATTTTGGTAGGCGATAAAGGTTACTACCTAGGACTTTGGCAACAATGTGAGAAGTACTCAGTTCCAATTACGGATTATTTTGTCTGAGAGAAATGAGAGATCATGAGATATGTCACGTGACATTTATGGACGAATGATAGCTCTTTAATCAGAAAATGGGGGGAAATTTAGAAAAATATCTGCAGTACTTTATAGCATTTGTATTAGCTTCATTCTGTGTTGTGTGAAACAGTGTTGCTTAATTTTTGGATCCCATCTAAAGTGAATTCAAAATTTTACTGCGTTTATCTGTTAATCAAAAGAATTGCTTGAATGGCGTATGATGTAGGATTAATTGCGGATAAGTATGAATGTCCAACTGTGGGAAGAAAGAGATTTGGTGAAAGGAAGGATATTATTCAGAAAGTTTGAATGGCGGCGCAAGAAATCTGGTGAAAATGGACATTTGTGATCCGCCATGCACTCAAGATTCTGTAGAAGATTAGGCAAGTTAGTAGTTTTTAATCATTTGAGGATATTATTTTTATGCATTGTTCTAAATATAAGGAATAAATAAATTAATATGCTATTATTGGAAAATTTTATTAGCAATGAATTAGTTTAAAGTAATTAAGATTTTAAGTTAATTTTTATTAATTTAATGTATGTGTTATTTATATTTTAAGTAGGTTTTTAATTTAATTATATTTTTTAAATGATAGTTATTTTGTGAATTATATGTTTGTAGCATTTTGGAATACGTTTCCGTAGAAGTAACCGTGCATGGAAATAATTTAAATATTTGACACTAAGTATTTGCAACCATTTTTAATGTTTGCCTTATAAATTTGCACAGGTGACTTTTATAATAGGATAATTTAGAGGGAAAAGAAAATTAATATAATTTCTTGCATATTTTATTTAATTTATACATGCAAATGTTTATCCTTGGAAAGGGTACATGCAAGCTGAACATATAAAAGCTTGCATAGTATACATACTTTTTAGCAATCAGGTAATTTCATATATGTCCTTTTTACTGACTTCATTCACAAAATTTTGCTGCAAATTTTTCTAATTTATGAGAAAACAGCAATGTACATGGATAAAGTCAAGAGTGCACGCGATGCCATTTTTGTGCAATTCTGGGATTTTTTTTGTAAGTAAAAATAGGCCGCCGTGTACATGGTTACCGTGTATGTGCCATTCTGAAAATCGCGGCAAGGAGTTTGCGATTCTGCACTTTCTCCCAATCTTGCAGTTAATATTCATCATGATTAAGCACTTTTGTTCCATAAAATTTCTCGCATAAGCATAATTCGGCTACCAGATTGTTGAAAAAAATTTTGATAAAAAAAAAAAAAAAAAAAGAAACCTGTCTTCCGGCGAAAAAAAAAGTAGAAGGTTGCTGTAGCAGGGTTGGTTGCCAAATTTTTGCCAAAAATCGTCAAGTTACCATAATTCAAAGATTAACCAAAAATTTCAATGGAAACTAACTATGGAACATTACTATCATTACATTGTGAAACATAAACTGCTATCATATGTCTTAGAAATTCTGTAGGGTGAAAACTTCAAGAACAATAAACTCTGCTACCGATTACTGCTTTACAAGTACTTCAAAAATAGTGCTCATAACTAACAAATACTATTATTCAAAGTGGTTAAATAAAACCAAATTCCTTTGCATGAGATGGTTAAGAGCAGTTGCAAGTAGTTTGGAAACCAACTATTAGTAATACCACACACCAAAAGACTTTCAATCAACCTACACACATTCCTCTTTTTCTGGTAACCTATTTCTTCCTCCTTATCTTCCCGCAAAATAATTTCTAAGTAATTACTTTAAATGTTTGCTTAGCATATGTTCAAATGACAGTAATACCAGAGATTGACTGGTAACTTGAAATCTTATACCTCAAAATAAAGGAATTAAATGTTGAAACACACTATACTGGCCAAGTCTAACTCTTCAGAACATTAATGGATTGCACATAATGGTAATTATTAAAGTTATTTTAGACAGTTAAGATCAAAGACACTGAACGATGATAGCTTACAGATTAATGACAAGTTAGAAAATGCAGTCCTAAATCATAAAATAGCACACATCAGGAATTAAGGACAAGGACCTACTAAACAAGAATTACCACAGAATATCTACGTCAGTAAACTACTGTAATACAGTAAAAGAAAATATTACACTTACAATGACAGTTTACAATTGACAAAAACAAAGAAATAATATAATTAAATCTTAATGGACGACAAACTTTACAAAATCTGTAAAAATTATGGCCAATGCTATTCTGGAGAAATGGACTTTAAATAGATTCCACTTGGAAAAAACTTTATAAATAGATTCCAACTTAACAAATATACAGTATACTACAGAGAGAAAAGTCTGATGTTTCTTCATGGTTTTTTTACAGTTTGATGAAGCATTATGTTTTAAAATATGGTATGTAAACTTTCCTAAGGAATCTCAGAACACGAATCACTTTAAGGCAACCTATCCTACGTGTTAAAATACACTGATAATCCAACTCTATGAAAAAAAAAATATATGTAAATTTGAAATAAATTAACAGAATTCACAAGTGAGTCGGAAGCAATGCCAATCTAACAATATCAAAGGAAAAGGTCACAGTTATTTTTTCCAGGATCAGATTAAATATAAATTTGAATCAGACATTATATACATACCAAACCAATTTTCCCCTGAGAAGTCACAATGTTATATTTATTGATAAACTACCTTAAATTGTGTATTTAGAAGCCTTTAATTTATATTCAGTAGAATTACAACTTAATCACTGAACCAGCTCTTTCAAGAACACTGCAATCAATATCAACAGCATTCATTTTTCACTGATTCAGTTAAAAGCTCAAAATTTTCATTTTATAACATAATGAAAATGGAGTAGAAAAATCAATATAATTTGCTTGAGCTCAACATATATTAATATACATTTTTTCGTTTAATTAGATTTTCATTATATTCGATTCCTAACTCCTTGAAAAGAATTTACATTATTTCAAAATTAAGTCTCCTGACATGAAGATATCAAAATCCCTCATTCACAATAAAAAGGTGAAAATAATGAATCTCACTTCGGAAAGAAAAACGATCACTCTGATTTAAAAGTTATTTAGAAAAAAGAATACTAAAATGACAAAAATTCAATCTGGCTTCTTATATCTCTTTATAAACAAACACAGATCACAACGAATTCAAAAATCCAAGGCAACATGATCTCAACATGAGAATAAATATATTATAATACATCAATGTAACTGTGAAATTTGCTGACAATTCAAATACTGATTTGCCATATGATAACTGCAGTACGTAGAAATTTCCTGAGCACGCCTCCAGATATCCAAATACATTCAAGTTCCATACACGATGTGACACCTGCAAACACTTTATAATAGCGATATCAATACTATACCTGGATGTTTCGAGAAAGTATAAACTATTTATATTTAACACAATATTACCTAGTGAGCTAAATCATCCATCAGTGCTAATACACTGAACCAGCTTTTAGAAACATAATAAAACACCACACAAAATACAAGTTCTAAAAATCTTAACAAATGACCACACCACAATTAGATCAGCTGATACTTCTGTGTGTTTTTTTTTTTTTTTTTTTTTTTTTTTTTCATAAATACCAATAACACTACAAACACTTTCAAGACTCAAACACCTATTCTTATCCACTTTCCATCGGCTTTACATACACACCACACTTTCTAGCGCAATCCTGTACCTACTATTGGAAATCTATGTTGCCATACCTCTCATAAAAATAAAGTCTTGGCCTAAACGGTGGTTGTGTAACACTACACATGTCATAATACTTATTAATTTTACATTCCAGTCATTTTATCAAAGAATAACATCAGGCAAAGAATTATTTTTAAATCCCTCCGCAGTGGAAGGGAAGAAAAAGTTAGATTTTATTACAAATTTGGAATAAAGCAAAGGTTATGTATGACCCTCCTCTGAATTTCCTGCTATTTTATTCAAATGATTTCTTTAAATTTTGTCAAATTATTCAAATGCATTAATATTAAATCCTACAATACAAATAAGACATTACACTGAAATATTTAGGCTTTCATAAATAAAGCTTGATTAGGCTATTTCATCCCCAGCCTAATTAGTTAATCACAAACCCAAACCACCATCAGGTTTTCACAGATGTGAGGGAACCTTTATGAAAACACAAGATTGGCACATACGGATGCCGACGATCAGAAACTAATCTACAATTTGTGCACGCTCCCTTATATCGCGACTCTATCCTTATATCGCGTTTTTAGACAAAGCAGATATATGTCTTGTTTTGCATCCACTAGGTTTTTCTGCCCGAGGGGCGAAAAATCAAACAAATTTGGTTTAATATAAGACCATTAAATGGCTTACTTGAAATATAGCCTTGGTCACTATGGAGTGTACAGGCGATCTCGTAGACCTCATACGAAGCTATCTCCAAGACCGCTCTATTCAAGTTACTCTAGACTCTGGAATTGTTGCACAAAATTGCATCGAGGCTCATGGCCTCAGGGCTCATATTTAGGTCCTGTCTTATGGACAGTGGTCGCAAATTCACTTTTCCAAGAGTTCAAAAATACACCCAATTGTTCTATCATAGCATATGCAGATGACTTACGGTAAACGTATTATTCTTACTGTAAACGGGAAATCAAAACTACAATCAACAGCAGAATATTGCCTTGATAAGTTCAGCAACTGGGCTAGAGATCATAAAATTACTATTTCAGTCTCTAAGACTCAAGCTATCTCAATAGCAGCTGTAGCCCCTCTTAAAAGAAAGCCCACGATTAAATTGTCTAGCACCTCTATTAAGGTAGTTCAACAAGTCAAGTATCTAGGTCTCACAATTGACTCCAGACTTTCTTGGCTGCCGCACCTAAAAAATATTAAGAATCGAATTGGATTTTTAATAATAACATGGTGCGAACCACGGCTAAAGCCTGGGGTGCCTCTTCTTCCTTACTAAAAATTTGGTATCAGACAGTCACAGAAAGAATCATTTTGTATTGTGCTGGTGTCTGGGCAACTTCTCTAACTAAACATGAACGCCGTCAGCTTCTATTCATACAAAGAATGCCTCTTCTACTAATCAGTAGAAGGTACCGCACAACTTCGACAGCAGCCCTGCAAGTACTAACTGGTATTCCTCCTCTCGACGTAACTGCGGAGCGAGAAGCAATACATTGCTGTATATTACGACTGAAAAAAACATATCACTCTATGGAATATTCCCTTTTCAGCTTCAGACTACGAGAGAAAAAATTCAGATTATCTTTGCCACCCTTCCTATAATGATCTAGATTCTTATATTTCCTCTAGATCGCCTCAGTTGCCAATTCACGGCATCGCCATTAACGCAGATGGTTCACGTACTGAAGTAGGCACAGACTGTGGTCTGTGTGTCATGCTAAATGATATTGTGAAACACACTTGGAAAAGAAGATTAAGTAATCATAACTCAATATTCCAAGCTGAATTTACAGCAATAAAGAAAGCTATTCAACTTTTCTATAGATTCGATACACAAGCCCATATTTGCAGTGACTCTCTATATAGTTTGGAGGCAATTGGTGGTATAAATTCCAGAAATCCGCTGGTCACAGAAATACAAAAATTACTTCTCAACATAATGTCAGAATTTCGTCTACGGTTATCCTGGGTTCCAGAACATACGGGCATAGTTGGCAATGAGCTAGCGGATGAACTTGCCAAGGAAGCAGCAACTGGCATTAACTTGGCGGAACATCCCTTGCCATGTTCTTATCTTAAAAGGATTACTTATAAGCACTTAATGAATCACTGGCAATCCAGATGGAATATTGCAACAACGGGAAGATGGACTTTCCGTTTTTGTCCCCATGTCTCTACTAAGATGCTTACATATTCTTCTGCATTGACATCTTTCTTTCAGGCCATGGACCTTTCATAATATATCTTCATCGATTTGGTATTACAGAACCGGACAATTGTGAATGTGGCTAGTAAAGAACTCCGGATCATAATGCCTTTTCCTGCTGTGTTATGAAACCTTTTCACTTGACCAAGCCATCTGATCAGTACTGGGAACAATGGACTTCACACCTATTAAAAACTAAGGGAACTCTTACTAAACTGACTAAAATATTACAATTCTGTAAAGAAAGATATTCACAGTCATCAACTAGTTAAGTACCCATACGATAGCGACATTCGAACTCATCAAATAGCTAAGTAATTGTTGTATAATCTTTGTATAACTTTTTTTTGTTTTTACACATTCATTTATTTATTTTTTATTTATATTTACGTTTATTTATTTGCATACCTTTATTCATTTTATTTATATTACTTTTCCTGTATTTATTTTAGTTTTCATTTTTATTTTTTCCTTTAATTTATTTTATCTTTTTTATTAGATTAAGTATTTGTAAAATTTATTCAGCAACTTTCTTTTTATTATATTTTTATTATATATATGTAACCAACTTATAACCCTGAATTATATGTAGCATATGAATGCAAGTTGTCTTTGTTTTTGAAATACTGCCACTGTATGTACTGTCTGATTTTGTTAAAATATATGTACAGCCCCACCCTAGTAGTGGCGACTGTTAGATTGTACTTGATCTCCTGCTGAGCAGGCACTATTCTGCTTGGTATAACACCTTAGGTCAAAAGCCTGCTCAGTGGTGATAAATAAATAAATCCTACTGAGCCGACGCCGTTCTCGCTCTGTATTCTGACTATCATTTTGAAATAAAGATCACTTATTGCTGCTTGCTGTCTCTGTCTTTTTTCCAAATTTCACCACTTTCTGACCACTCCTTCTTGGTGTTGCATTTTCAATGTCGAGCAGTGTATATACATATACAACTCATTTCTGAATCCGGTTCCGATAACAGAAGAGTACTGAAAAATCGTATTTCAGGATTACAAAAATTGAGGAAGTATTGATAACTGACATTCAGTTTCTTCCCCTGTCCTTGAAATATGCTTATTTGTGCTTCATTTAATTTCTCAGAATACAAATATTTTTGACAAAATGTGCTTATTTCTTTCATCAAATAATTTTATTATAAAATTTTGGGCACATATCTATAAGCCAATAGTTTGTCCCTCCCTGCAGTGCCAAGAACTGCACTCTGTCTCCATATGAAAGTGTCATGAACACAACAAGAACATATTGCATTTATTGACAAGATCTTCACATTACGATCAGAAACCTGCAAAATATTACTGTTGTAGATAAAGATGTTATCTAAAAGCTTAAACAAGAATAAAGGAAATACATGTATGCTATTAATAACATGAAATATAATGTTTATCAGGATTATAGAATACATGTGTTTGATAACGTTTAATTGCTTTGAAACTTATTAGCTAAATGATAATAATCTACTTAATATGAAATAAATATTCTACAATATAAAATTATTGAGGAGTGTTAATTAAAATCCTTTGGTTGACTAAGAAAATAAATTACATAAGCATTATACAAATCTGATTTCAAATTTATGGAAAGATACATTTTTATAACATTATGAAAGCTGAGTTATTATTCAAAACTAATCCTACTTCAGAAAATTCTCAATACGCAGTTTTATCGTTTTTACATATATGTAACAATTATGAGTACAATCTCATAAAAATATATTAACATAACCTTCTCATTTGGTGGTGTCAAAAATCAAGATCCGAAAAAGATTAAAATGTAACACCTACTGATTGTTTTATAAACTGTATTAATCCATCACGTGAGAAACTTGCAATTTTTCCCATGATGTTTCTAAAATAGCGTAATAATATACTGGTAAAGTAAAATGGAGAAAAGAATACTCTGTTTCCAAAAAATTTCATAACAACATATCCTTCATAAGAAGAAACAGGTATTTTACATCAATAGGTAAATAATTACAATCCCTTTTCACATGAATTTTTAAGGACTATAATAAGATAAAAAATTAACAGATGACTTCAAGAATAATATCAAAGTCAGAACAAACATTGTAATTCGTTTTTAAATAATACTGCGAATGAATTCAACCAGTTATTTGTTTTAGATTCTTATTTTTGACAACAAAACTCAGATGAGAATGTTATACACCAAAGATGTAATTTATTAGGAAAACCAGAGAGAAATTTAACTAACATATTCTTCTCTGTTTACTATTATAGAATTCGGAACTTAATTCCAATTAAATTTTTCGAATGTTTCAGGTAATACATAAAAAATATTAAGAAGAAAATTATTCGAAAAGTATAGACGAATTCATAAAAAAATGTTTCTACAACTGAAACTGATCAGAAAAACAGAAATCACGACATATGTAGAATATATAAACATAAATTATAGAATAATTGATTAAGTTTTTACAATTTTAGACTGAAATTTCAACAATTCAAATAAGTATCTTACTCTTAGCTCAGGCGGTAATCCAGTAAAAGGTAAGAGTCTTCGAACAAAAGCTGTTAGTTCAGAACAAAATACAACTGTTTATCTCTCCTAAATAACTATATAAACTGCTTAACAGATAATTCAAACGCATCCAGTGTGCTTCGGAACATTTTTCTTTGAATTAAATTACGATGATGTATTCAGTTTAAAAGATAAATCGCTAAACATTCATCCGACGCAATTACTTTTCGATCGCAAGATTTTTAAACGGTTGCACATAAGCAGCCGAAAACCAGGCGATCACTACTACGCACGAAATGGTTTCCATCGGTGCTCGAGGA